TGGAAAAAAATACGTAAGTTTTGTCCGAGACATTTTTTCGAATCGTGATAGATGGCGCTGTAATCAGTGAAAATTAGTTTTTGCCATTTTCTCTCACCATCGGGGTGCTTTATTTCGGTGAGTCCCCTCGCCTATCACTATTCAATTACAATAAATGCTCGAAATGATGACCTTCCATTTCGATGCATTTATTAACTCGAGCTTGGAATGCTTGTACACAGTGTAGAAAGTATATCTAGCGTTATTTGTGCGCAAGCATATCTAATACGTTCCACCATGTTTTCTCGAGTATTTGGTACGTCTGTATACACTTTTTCTTTAAGGTAACATAAAATTATTTCAACTTTCAAAATTATTTCAAAATTATTTCAACTTTCTTCTCTAAAGATAAATAATCCATTATTTATTTGCTGAAATAATTATTTCGGCAGTTGTACTCATTGAACTATATACTTACTGGAACAAGCGCTCCTTTGTCTCGAGTTGACGCCAGCCTGTGCGACAAAGGCCATTGCTATAAGGTATCGTCTTCTCTGTCTCACTAACGTGCTACTATTCGTTCCGCCTACATTTTCTCAGCGTACAAGGTGATTCTAATATAAGTAACAAACATTTCAAGCGTCTCTGTTAAGCATTCGCAACTTTACTGCGTACTGCGTATGCAGGTGTATGTTTTTAGCTAAGAAGGCATCATCTGCTATGGAGATTATAATTATTTTTCCATTTAGATAAACATGCGATACAGAATAAACATAACCACTTGGCAACTTTCTCCTTCGACTCGAGGTTATTGAGCAAAATCTCAACTTGTACGCTTTCCAGTATGTTATATAGTTCAATAAACTAGACACATGGAGCCCACGATCACAGGCCATACAACTCACGCGGCGTAAACGAAAAATTATCAAAAAAATTGGTTCGAACGTGTTGAACAGAAAATTCTAAAATAAACTGAAATATAAATAAAGATTTAGCTTTATTTAACTTACCGTTCACAAAATTTTTTCGACATCTGATTCGTGACAAGCAAATGGTTAGCTTTTTCATTTAATATCATATATGATACACGACAAAATTGTCTGCATACCATACTAATCTGTGATAAAGTATATACATCACAGAATCTGAAAATTATTATCAGTAGCTCGTTCGGCAAATTGTACAATGGAGACATATTTTTGTCTTTCTAATTAAACGTTACGACGCTAGTGTAGAATAAGGATGGAGACTTCTAGGGAACTATTTGATTTTTTCCCGGTTGAAGTGTCCTTTTATTATAAGGTTTAGGAACTCCAGGAGCGATGAGTTCCTTCACCATGTCGACTATCCTTGACGAACACTTCCGGTTTCGAACTCGAGAGCGACTCCGAATTTGTCCGACTCCGAATTAATCGACTGCACTATATTAATGTATAAATGACTTTATTCAAAATGAACACTATAAGATTGCTGGCTCCAAATTACAATTCTTCGTTCCGATACCAACGCGACTAAACCTGCTCCGACTATACTAAAACGACTTGCCAATGGCTTTTAGAACGCGACTGGCTTCTTCGGCGACTACTACAAGAGTGTCTCGCCTGCTCTTCCGCGGAAGCGATTTTGCTCGCACGCCGGTTCTCGAATCTTCCAGCATAATCTTTCAGAGGGCGGATTTCCGCTATAGACATGCTGTATCCGGTCGATTAATCCTGCGCGATCATCGATTGCGCTGGCAGCGCCAAGCGTTTTTCGGAGCTACCAGTAGGTAGCGCTCTCTCGCGTTCGATTCTAGTAGCTTTCTTTCACTAGAACAGCGCTCGGAATTAGTTGCACATTTCGGGCCGATTCCCGAGACGATGCCACCTGTTCCCCCTCTACCACCCGGCCGCTGGCGACCGAGCCGCCGAT